TCCGAAAAAGCTAGAGACGTAAACACAGGGAGTCTCTAGAAAGGGAGTGAATAAAATTGATGGGTGCTCACCCCCTTCTTTAGCCCCCTCACTAACAGCAGAAATAAAGAATTGTATGTGATTGAAATGTTGGCAGCAACCTCGTTTCTAGGTTCTCTCTCTCGCTTCCTAGGGCCGGGTAGGAGAGGACTCTGGGAACGAGGTTGCGTTGGCAGTGCTGTGAAATTCATTATGTTGCTTCTCAAACGTAATTACGTAACGGGAGGCCTCGAGCCGCAAATAAAAAAAAAGATTACGAGTTGAACGGTTTGTATCTATATGGCAATGACGGTCATCAGAAATTCGTTACATTAATTATTAAATGTAGGTAGGAATCGAGAGATTTGAAACCGCAATACAATCTTTTTATAAGAATGATATATTTTATAAGAATATGAAAGCTGAAATTTATGGAATTTTAAGAATAATTGAAGAATAAACCCGAAGCTGAGAATTTGAAAAGGATATGATTGTGTGTGTTGAAAATCTGTTATCTTGAACTACCCCTTTGCTCTAAACGGCCAACAAAACGAAAAAAACTTGCACTAACTGTAACTGGGACCCTAATACATTCTAAAACGGAAATGTCTAAGCTATAATTTAGGAATAATACAAGAATAATTCAAGCCTAAAATAGGCAGAAAAATAAGAATATTCAGTCTGGGCCGGAAAAACATCATTCTTATAAAAAGAAAATGATGTATGTAGGGCGCATGCGCTTGGAGGCATTTTTTTTTTCCATAGAATATGATGTATTGTTTGAAAGCCTCTTAATCTGGACACAAAATATACACTAACTTCGGTATCATTGTGTTTTTCTGATCCTTCAACACTTCTTTTAAGAAACAGGCCTTGCTGTCGGCATAGCCCAGTAATTACTGAATCGCTCAGTCATCCATTTTTTCCTATGAATATCTTAATTCTTATCATGCTGCTTGGTATTCATAAAATTAAAAAATAGTGACCATTTAACAGATGTATTTTTCAGGTGGAATATACATTGTCGTAAGTGTCAGTTAATTAACGAAGGCGAAGCAAGATCTCGGAGCGCCTAAGTGTATCGAACAACCACATCAGTCCGATCGAGGCGTCGCATCAACTGTTTCTTCTTTTGCTACAAATCGAGGTGAGAAAAAAAATGGGACTAATTGCTTAAACCTAACGAGCCTTGTCAGTGAAATTTCAGTTCGAATCCAGTTAAACTAGAGACCTCCTTCGTAAAATTTTCCCGCCCTTAAAGTCCAATTTTCGTGGTTTTGAGTAACTTTTTGCAGCGATTTGTGATGTCTTAGTATAGTTTGTACTATAGGTACCACAAAGGTTAAAGGAAAGTTTTTTTTTTCACTATTATTTTATTAACTGAACGACTTATTTACAATCAGCCTGGAAATGTTGTTCCTCCTACTGAATTCGGTAAAATTTTCACCTCTGCTCCTCAGTGAAATATTCTGTCCGTTCAAACTAAAGGTAATATGTCAAAGTTTAAGTTAAACTTGTTTTGACGCTTCCTTTTTAAAAAAACCTCAAAATCTGATATTTTGAGCACACTTTTCCTCCGGTCACGTACACGATAAAAACGATAAATAAAAAAAATCCTTAAACTCAGTGTAGAAGCAATTGAAAATAATCGAAGCAAAAGAAATTTCTGAACATTTAGTCATAAAAAGGAACGTTTTCTTATCTGGATGAACACTAGAATATGATGTCAGAAAAGCTTTCGGTTTTTACCGCAATCTTTTCTCCGGAAATGTGAGGAGACCTCGACATGTTTTCACAAAACGTCGATCTTGCATCCGTAGTCTGAAACTCTCGGCCAAACTCCAGCATTCACAACACTTTTTCAGAAATCTTAGTTGGCTAAAATTATCCAGGTCCAATGTGCTAAGAGAACTCTTAACACTTATGGGAGGTTCAAAACTCATATTCGGTAAGTTTTTTTATTATTAAGATTTGCGTAAATGATAAAACTTCCCTGCAGGGCAAGTTCATTATTAAATTGTGTTAAATTTTGTGTTAAACATGAAAAACAAAAACAAAAACACCTTTTCTTAATTTGGCTAAAAATATTTGTTGCGTGTTTGAAGCTGGCTTCTTCTCTTTAGTGTTTAAAAACAGTGTAATAATGAGGCCGATAGATGTTGCGTTTTTACAATCGTATTTGTTTCGAAAAACAAGTCGACCGCCTAGAGATTAAAAAATATACACTATATCATATTAACCTGTTTTGGAGAACTAAGTTTGCGTCTTTCTGAATAGAGGTTTTTCTTGAAAAGAGGTTTCACTGGATCAGGGTATTTTCATCGAAATATATGTTGCCAGCCTACCCATATCCCCTTTTATTTACAATGCGGAATTAGGAAAACGAACGAACAAACAAAGGTGACGGTAATATAGTTTGTATCGGCTGTAGATGGAGATTTACCAAAACAATTTGTCCCTGATCGACCCACTCATTATCAAGAAGCTACTGATATTTCTCGTTCCTTAGTTGTCAAATCAGGACTGATTTGAAACAAACGTGAACATCTTTCTTCTTTTATATCTGAAAAGCGTACACAAATGGTGTTTAAAAACCTGTTATTTGTACTGTAGCTTTATCGTAAAGCATGCGCATTAAAGGGTCTCGAAATTGACCATTTGAGTATACCATTTATGTCTTTAAAAGATTGGAGATTTTTGTCTTGGTAGAGTAGGATTTTTTATTTTCATTGCGTCTCCCAAGGGAAGAAACATTAGAACGTGAGGGTAGTTTTCGGTTGACGCCGGACATGCCTCGCCATGGACGCACCCACTCAAATACTAGTGGTCTCTCCATTTTGCGGTTTCTTTCACGATCAATAAGAAAGGTCTACCAAAAACACACCGCAAAAATTGAATCGTTAAAAAACGAACTCCACAACTGTGATAGCTTAGAAAGATAAAGGTCTTAAAAGTTGCACCTACATTAAGCGGTCACTTATTAGAAGCTGAAAACGTCCCTAACGATGGGGAACGAAGAGAGACAGTTTGCAGGCAAGTTACTAACCTGTGAACAGGCTCTCTGCCAGTTCGGGGAAAGGGTAAAAAAAACTCCTCGCGACTTTTTTCACCCTTTCCGAAAACAGAAAGCCTGTTCACAGGCTAGCAAGTTAGAACCAGCGTGGCACTTTCTGACATTATTTTGCGGAGCGGCGTCAATGGGAGCGACAAGGGGTTCTATACGGTAGCCGCTCTCAGACGATGCAAATAATCTATCGGCCATCATTCTCTCAGAAATCGTTGGGGATGGAAGGGAAAATATCACAGAATTCAATCGCTCTCTTTTTATGCCCAAAGTCAACAGTACTAGGAAATTATATGCTTTTTCCTCTTTCAGGATACTTGACAATCCTAATTTTCTCAGCTTTTGACAAAATGTAAGCAAATGATAGTCATCGATGGGAAGTATTTCTGAGCTCTTCCTACAATCGAGACAATTATAATTATGAAAACGACAGACAGGGGCAGCCAACGGCCGCCGGGAATGTTTCCAAATACGTCAGAAATGCCTCAGATTGTTTTCTCTATGCTTTAGAAGCCTGTTTGGTTAATTTGGAGTTGCCCTAAAAACTGTTTATCTGTTCGGATGTCTTACGGGAACTTTGGTCGTCACGAAAGTTTTAGGTGGCTTTTTCGTCTAATCCGGAGAGTGTTAGCTACACTTGTGGGTCCAGTCGAAAGTTCGAGGACTTGAAGTAGCTTGGCTTTCATTAGAAAATTACAGGGAACGTTTGTCTTTATACCGAAAGTTCTAGGAGACCTTTTTAAACAATAATCGCAATATCTTGGTATTAAAATGTGAATAACACAACCTCCGAAAATCGCAGTTAAGCTATTACTGAACCTTCGAATATTTTAGACGAATGGAACGGTTATCCAGAAATTTTAAGCTTTTGTCAAGCTTTAGAAATTTCTAGGCGATATGTGCTCCTTTGAACAGTTATTTTACAGAAAAAGGTCGCTGGGTGCCCTTGACAGAGCCGTCTTAGTTGTCCCGTAAATTTCTGGGCTGATCCCGACGATCCGAACGATTGAAAAAATTTATGAGAGCATTTCTCGCTTTGATTTTTGAAATGAAGGTAAACTAAATTGTAATTCTGACCCTCGAAGCTCGAACAACGCCGGATATTGCTCTTTGCAATAAAATTTGCAAACAAGTGAAATTCGGGCCATCATAGAAACAGCTAAAAATTGTCTTGAAGGACCAGCAAAAGCGTGAAGGTATTTGGGATGTTATACCATAAAGGCTGCCGTGTAATTTACCGCGAGGTCACCACTGTCCATTAACTTACGGTTTTAAACAACCGTGAACCATCGATCAAAGATCCTCGCCATCTGCTGTGACATTGACCTGACTTTAGAAAGGCTGTACTTATCACTTGACTTGCTGACTGCACTTCGCGATATTTTATCATTTTTTTAGCCGAACAAATGTCTTATTTTCTTTGGCTAATTCGCTTTTGACGGCACAGATTTTTGCGCTTTCTGCGTCGACACAGTGATCATGTAAAAAGTCAAAGGAAAACACTCAGAAAATCCATCTGAACCTGGTTATCACGCTTCTGTCTCCGAGACTTTTTTAGTAAGGATACATTTCAATTTCCTCAGCGGTTCTAATTTAATTAATTAGTACCTAAGTTAAGTTTACCCTGGTGTTACGCAATTTTTTTTTTTTTTGACCAAAAGTAGTTGGATGAAATCCAAAATCTTTGGATACCTTCCATACATATGTCCATTTCTTTGTGTCACCATTTCTTTCCGTCGGGAACTCTCAGTGAACTGTGGCAACATTGCACCAGTCTCTGACAACGTGATCATATGAAATGTCGTCTTTTTTCTTTTTCATGTAGGGTAGAGTCTAATATTATACAAAATTGCTTGATGCGCAACAGCTGAACGTGGTCGAACTTAACCCCTACGCGAGCTCAAGGTTTCAGAAGAACATGGACACGTCTACTAAGACTCTACTAACAGGTACAATGCAGTCCACCCCTGGTGATCAGAACGCGAGTCGGAGACCGAATCAAGCGGGATTCATAGCCTACGTCATCGTTATGACCGTTATTGTGCTGGTAGGATTCGTGGGCAATGTTCTCACAATTCTGGTCTTACGGCGCCGAGAGCATAAAAACAAGGTCATAACTCCGCTGATGATCAACCTCGCTGTTGCTGATATTATTATCATCGTCTTTGGTTACCCCGTGATTGCAGCCTCCAACTTCACCGATCACAACGTTCTTGAAAACCAATCTCTGTGTATATGGTCCGGATTCATAAACGGTGCCGTGGGAATCGCGACAATAGCCTGCCTGACAATGATGAGTTTTGCAATGTTGCACAGCTTCAGTAAAGTCGGTAGACCGCGAAGAGTTCCAACTAAGAAAATGGCTGGCATGATCATTTTCACGTGGCTGTACGGAGTGACTGCCATGTTTCCGCCGTTAGTGGGCTGGAACGAGTTCGTTCCCGGGACTTCTGGGATCAGTTGTTGTCCAAATTGGCTGCCCGAAACAAAATCGGGAACAGCATACAACGTTCTGCTGGTTTTTGTCGGCTTCTTTTTTCCGCTGAGTATCATCGTGGTTTGTTACAAAAGAATTTACAGGTTAGCTGAAAGTTAATGAGATTTTAGTGAAAGAAAAATATTTCAACAAGTAACTCCCAAACTGTCAAATTATATAGATAAAAAGTATTGCGATACTCGCGCTGACGTCACCCATTGATATTAATAAACCTCGTTCCCAGGGTCCTCTCCTTCTCGGAGTAGGAGAGGACACTGGAAACGAGGCTGTGATATTTATGTGCCAAACAGAAGCGCATTGGTTCTTGAAACAAAAGGATATTTTGCTTCACTCGTTACACAATTATATAACAAAACAGTTCATCGCCGGCTATAATAACAAAACAGCAAAGAAATAAACGTGTCGTGTGTTTGTCAAGTGGAGGATTTAATGAAACACAGAAGAAAAGTCATTAAAACAATGAAGATATATTGATACAGGGTTATCGCTACCTAAAGAAATATTAAACAATTATTGGATGAGATTTTTTTTGTGATGTTGGGAATGATCAAGGTCGACGGCTCAGCTGATAACACTTACTAAGACCTTGAATATTCCCGATATCACAAAAACTATTCCAATGATAGTTCAGTTTTGAATTCGTCGAGGCTGCTGCTGAAGCACTGAAGACTCACTTATACAGGGTAAGCCTCGACCAAGGTAAAATATAGTCACAAATTCCAGTTTGAAGAAGACCTGTGTAAAACTGTGTCTATTGTTTAAAACTCAAATTCAGGCACCCTCTTGCTGGTATTTGGGAATATTTTACTTGAGGTCGAAGTTAGCCCTGTATAAATGAGTCTTCAGTGCTTCTATTCAGGGGCCGAGACGAAATCGAAATTGGACTATTGTTTTATTATACATTGGTCAGAAGAAAACGAAGGACAAAAATAGCTAGTATCGCATGGAACACAGTTTGACATTGCTCTTAGAAATCATGCTTTACACACGCAACCTACAGATTATTCAGAAATCTGCTGACAAATAACTTACAAATCAGGACATTGCGCTGATTTCCCAAAAAAATACTAAGAGAATTTGCTTACAGATCAAGTAATCTTCCCCGGCTTTAGGAGATCTTGTGAACTTTCTTCTTATGTAAGTATATTGTAAGAAGAAAGTTGAATAATATTATGTTTGTCACTTTTAGGACTTAAGAGACCGGGATTTTGCTTTAAGACAGGTTTGACTCGTGGGTAGTTAAACACGCAACATCACTTTTCAACTCGTTTGCAGCAATGTTGCAAAACACGTTGCACGTTTTGGTTGTCCGTTTTACCGTGCCTTAAGGCCAATTTTGTTTATATTTAGTCATGTTTTGATACTTTGTGGAGGTTTGTTTGGCCGAATGGTTAACACCTCGGATTCCGGATCTGGAGGTCCGGGGTTCAAGCCACGCCCGTTGCGTTGTTTCCTTAGACAAGGAACTTTACTCCACTTTGTCTCTTTTCACCCAGGTGTATAAATGGGTACCGGCGACATACTCCTGGGGGGTAACCCTGCGATGGACTAGCATCCCGTCCAGGGAGGAGTAGCAAAACTCCTAGGTGCTTCATGCTAATGAAATCTGGATAAGCACCGGCCGTTTGAGCCTTTGGTTCTTGTGGACCTTTACCTTACCTTTTATCTATGTTTTGATACTGTAGGTTAGTCAAGACACAGCCACCCCAGTCAGGGAACATTGCAATCCAGGCCAGTAGAAAAAGATCCCAAATGAAACTTGTACGCATGACCGCCATGGCAATCGCCGCTTTCGTTCTTAGCTGGTCGCCATATTGTTTAGTGAGCATCATCGCTACCATCCGGGGTAGTACGGTGCTATCCCCTGGTGAGGCGGAAGTCCCAGATCTGTTAGCCAAGGCCTCGGTTATCTACAATCCAATTGTTTATACCGTTATGAATGACAGGTTCCGTATAACTCTCTGGCAAATTGTGCGCTGGCGCGGTTCATGTTCCGGTGAGATTGACGTTAAACCAGCGAGACATTCTTCCTCGGAAGAACAACAAAATAGTAGTTCTTTAAGAAAAGGGACGACCTCCAAGGAAGATGACAAGTGATCGAGGGATATTGAACCCTATTACGCTAAAAGGACAATGTGCTTCAACTCACCACAACAAATTGATCTCTATTGAAGAATACCACCCACATGGGTATCAAAGCGGATTATACAGTATTCAAAGTGATAGCTTGAGTTGTTGACTGTAGAAATTGGTCATGTCTCTTTTGAGTTTCTATACTTCCTGAGTTGCAGATGAAATAAGGAAATGCTGCCGGACGCACAGTAAAATGTTGCTTGTACTATTGCAAGTAATGCTACTTTACGGCATGTGTGTCCAGCTCAGTAAAATCTCATCACTGTAAATTAGGCGCAACAAATATTGAGGTGTTTCTGTTTTCTGCAACATTGCGCGCAATGGATTTTTAGTGTGTTATCTTTTCCAACATTGGGGACGACAAATTTCAGTGTGTGTCTACCTTCTGCGACATTGCGCGTGAAAAATTTCATCGTGTGTCTATCTCCTGCAATATGAGCGCAATGAAATCTCATCGTGTGTCTGCCTTCTACAACACTGCACGCCAGTTTCATCGCGCCGATCTTGAAAAAAGGTCGCAACAAATCTTTATCGCTAACCTTGTACATCATTGCGCACAACAAAATTTCAGTGGTGTCTACCTTCTGCAANATGAAATCTCATCGTGTGTCTGCCTTCTACAACACTGCACGCCAGTTTCATCGCGCCGATCTTGAAAAAAGGTCGCAACAAATCTTTATCGCTAACCTTGTACATCATTGCGCACAACAAAATTTCAGTGGCGTCTACCTTCTGTAACATTGCACGCTACAGTTTTTCAAACTCCAACTATCTGCATGTTTCTGCCTCAGTCAGTTCTTTTAGTTGTGCATTTCAGTGAAATAAGTGTTTTATTATCACAGCTGGTAGGTTTGATTTTGCGTCTTGACATATAAAATGTTAATTGTAATTAAGCCATACACTTATGACTATGGCTATTATTTCTACAGAATAGTTTGCCGACAGATCTACCCTGTCTTAAACCAGACTCAATCTGAGTACTGTTTAACAATGACATGTAAATATTCCACGTGAGAAAGTGTTTTAATTATTAAATAATGGAAATAAGTAAACAGATTATTACGTTTTCAAAACGGTTTTATATAAAGTTTATATTTGTTTGAAAAAAACGGAAACTGTTTGTTCTGACTTGTGTTCATCAACTGATTCACATTAAGTGTTGTTTCACAGCTAAAGCGGTTAAGTTTATTAATTTTATTCACTTTATTAAGCTTTTAAGGCAAAATCAGATTAAAATAGCCTTTTCAAGTTTTTAAACGAAAGTAGATGTAACATTTTTGTGTTCCAAAGAAGAATTCCAATAGAGAGGAGAGGAAGTCATTACGTCACGTTACCATTTGAGCAATATTTCTGGATCTCAACAAACCTTGGTCCTGCAAATGTGGCAGAAGAATACGAAAAAATTGGTTTGTATGACTTTCCTGTGCATGATTTGCTCTCGGGAACGAAACCGAAGTCCATATTTTTCTTCCACCGTTCGACAATGCAAATGGCCACCTCTACCATATTAACTTGACGTCACACTTCTCCTCTCTATAAACCTTTCACCTGTATCTGTGTCTTGAAGCCCTTTAGGCCCCTGTACCCCCAGACCGATACATCAATAAAGCATTTTCCGTTAGGTGAACAATTTATCAATTCTTTATTCTTGAGTATGTATCGAAAATTGATGATGTCACCATTAGCCATGTTCTTAACGAGCGGAGAACTGGTTACGACTTATGACCGCGAAGGCTCTGGAGATCGTTTGGAGGGACAGTTAAAACATGGCGGATAGCTACGCAGTAAGCCACCTGTTGAAGACAGACTAAACGGACTGTTGAAGAATACATACCTGGTGCATCATCAGTTTGGAACACAGTACTTGTAAAGCGCCATGCTTGTTGACCTTCATGCTGGCCCTCCAGACGATCCCAAGAAGATTTTTGGTCACATATTGTACCCAGTTTTTCACTCGACATGGCGAATTGGGTCTAAAACGCTTAAATTTCAAGTTACGTTTCTACCTTTATTGCCTACGAAATTATGGGTGAAACATGCCATTTTGGCGCCCATCAACAGCAAAATGATAGATTATGAAAACGTTAGTTTCGAAAAAAACTTCTTCGGTGGGCCTGAAAGCGAAAATTTGGCTTCATCAAGAGATTTGATACAAAAGATTGACAGCCTGACATACCAAGCGCTCAAGTCCGAGCTGAGAGGGCCTTGGGAGTGTCATGGTTCGTGAACACTGGCAGTTGTGGTTTTAAAGTGTGAGTTACTTCTTTGTCATTCATTTATTTGCCCATGCACAGAGTTATTACAGAAAAACAAGATAATAATTATACCTGGGCAGGAGATCTCAGCAACCCTTTTAGGCTTTACGAGGAGAGCTGCTGGATAAGTTTACGACAATGATTTTATTTTTAAGATAATAAAATGGACATAGCTGTGTTACGAGGATTATAGTAATTGGAGAACTAACTAAAACTAATAGTTCATGTAAATAATTTTCTTATTTGAGGAGAAAATGAGTTTTCATTTTTTTCCTGAATAAATTGATTGTCTTGATTTCTTTGATAGCATTTCTTTGATTTATTTTACTGACTGTTTTTGGTAGCTGGTTCGTGCTTGGAAGTTGTGAACATTGGAGTTTGATCTTGTGTTGTATTGATAAATGCATTTGTTCAGACAAAGAAATCATTGAAAGGTGATGATCGGTTCTTATTGAAGTATGGAAACTTGAACAAAGCAATGGTTTCATTGTTTATATCATCTGGAGGTAAAATCCATAGTTCTTTGAAGTATATTCTTGAAATTTTGAAAAAGTGATTAATATAATGATAATTTTTTTTGTAGCCTTCTTATTGGTTCCATTCTTGTTGTGTACGTATTCCCGATGCAATGTTACCATAAATTACATATCGATAGATCAATGCGTAATATAGGTCACTGCACGTGATGTATTATCGACCATTTGATAGGTCAACGGGTTATAAATTATTAATGAGTTTTTGAATGAATGACCAACAAAACATCCGAAAAGATAATATAACATGAATACTCTATCTCATCACGATGGAACCGTTCCGTCAACGTATAGGTGGTTTTCATGCAATCTCGGGAGACACTAATAACAATGGTGAAATGAACAAATGCTGGTGGACAAACAAAGCGAGCTAATGAGCGATCTTTTGTTTACCGTCCACCAGCATGACGGCGATGACGTAACGTGAAAACCACCTATAGCTACGTGATATATAGATTTAGCCAGGGCTAAAAGCGAAGCTCTGGTTAATAGTACGTGTAAAAAAAAATATTAAATCGTGTAATGCTAAACGGGGACAACGAAAATGGTTTCAAGACTAATACATGTAATTAGCAAAAAACAAATTTGCACGTGCAGCACCCTTTTTTTGTCTTTCCCTTGCCGTTGTTTTGCACGACTACAGCGCTGTTTTGTACGACTAAAACGTCAAACTTCCTAGTTGCACATTATTTTTATGGAGAAATTGTCTTATGTGCTTACCCAATATTTTGTTTCCTGTGTTCATGTTCGCTTTTATTTTTCACTGCCGCTCATTTTCACCTTGCTGGCCGCCAGCCTTTTTCATTTTTTCACCGCGGCTTTGAATTTCTATGTTTTTCTTCCTACGAAATTCGTCTCCTTTGTTTTTAATAACCCGCTCTAGCTCTTTCTCTGTTATCCACGTTACTTAGTGTAGACATAAAAAATAACACCGAAAAAGACACGACTTTGTTGTTGTCCGGGCGGCCATGTGATTTCCTTCCAAATAAAACCTTGAGTTGCATTTGGGTTACCATACCTGTTGATTGAGTTATTTTACATTGGTATGCCTGTGGTGCAGACGGACGGTCGCTCGCTTGCTCGCTCGGTGTACGGTCACGTGATTACCAAATTTTCTCGGATGGGTAGTTTACCACATTTCCTTAGCGGTAAGTATTGGCCTACCGCGTGGAGCTCCGATATTAATCGCCGCATCGATCACACAAAACACGAAGTTTATATTAGCTTTTAGTTTACTAGTTAACGCACAGTTTACGCATCTTTACTTAGCCACCTTGTTAAATTAAATACGTCTTAATTTTACTTTAATGACAGCAAACATGTGTCAGATATGGTTGCATTTTAAGTTGCCGGAACGTGAATTTAAAGGTCTGTTGAACAATGCACGAGAGAGAACAAAGTATATTTACGGAATTAGTTTACCACAGTTTTAAAAAAAATCAGCTCTTGTTTAAACTTCTTAAAACACAAGTGCGCCGCGTACTTCCAAATGAAAGTCAATGTCTAAATACCAATTATTGACGTTTCATTTGTACACCCCTGAAAAATATGATTTTCTATACTTCACTTTGAAGAAGGTCAAACATAATTCTACTGGCCTTTAGGGAGGGGAGAAGTCACGGGTGCCCTCGCAAAACCCCCCCCCCCCCCCCCCCAACCCCCGCCCCCCCCTTTCTCTATTAAAAAATATTAATATTTAGATTATTCACCTTTTTTTTTCAATAAAAAAATAAAACAAACACTCACCCCAATCCAGCCCGAACTAAAACGACAAACATAATAATAACAATCACCAACAAAAAACAACAAAAACAGAATGAAATCTCATCGTGTGTCTGCCTTCTACAACACTGCACGCCAGTTTCATCGCGCCGATCTTGAAAAAAGGTCGCAACAAATCTTTATCGCTAACCTTGTACATCATTGCGCACAACAAAATTTCAGTGGTGTCTACCTTCTGCAACATTGCATGCTACAGTTTTTCAAACTTCAACTATCTGCATGTTTCTGCCTCAGTCAGTTCTTTTAGTTGTGCATTTCGGTGAAATAAGTGTTTTATTATCATAGCTGGTAGGTTTGATTTTGCGTCTTGACATATAAAATGTTAATTGTAATTATGCCATACACTTATGACTATGGCTATTATTCCTACAGAATAGTTTGCCGACAGATCTACCCTGTCTTAAACCAGACTCAAACTGAGTACTGTTTAACAATGACATGTAAATATTCCAAGTGAGAAAGTGTTTTAATTATTAAATAATGGAAATAAGTAAACAGATTATTACGTTTTTAAAAAGGGTTTATATAAAGTTTATATTTGTTTGAAAAAAAACGGAAACTGTTTGTTCTGACTTGTGTTCATCAACTGATTCAAAAGCGATTAAGTTAATTAAGTTTATTCACTTTATTAAGCTTTTAAGGCAAAATCAGATTAAAATAGCCTTTTCAAGTTTTTAAACGAAAGTAGGTGTAACATTTTTGTGTTCCAAGGAAGAATTCCAATAGAGAGGAGAGGAAGTCATTACGTCACGTTACCATTTGAGCAATATTTCTGGATCTCAACAAACCTTGGTCCTGCAAATGTGGCAGAAGAAAACGAAAAAATTGGTTTGTATGACTTTCCTGTGCATGATTTGCTCTCGGGAACGAAACGGAAGTCCATATTTTTCTTCCACCGTTCGACAATGCAAATGGCCACCTCTACCATATTAACTTGACGTCACACTTCTCCTCTCTATAAACCTTTCACCTGTATCTGTGTCTTGAAGCCCTTTAGGCCCCAGTACCCCCAGACCGATACATCAATAAAGCATTTTCCGTTAGGTGAACATTTTATCAATTCTTTATTCTTGAGTATTTATCGAAAATTGATGATGTCACCATTAACCATGTTCTTAACGAGCGGAGAACTGGTTACGACTTATGACCGCAAAGGCTCTGGAGATCGTTTGGAGGGACAGTTAAAACATGGCGGATAGCTACGCAGTAAGCCCCCTTTTGAAGACGGACTAAACGGACTGTTGAAGAATACATACCTGGTGCATCATCAGTTTGGAACACAGTACTTGTAAAGCGCCATGCTTGTTGACCTTCATGCTGGCCCTCTAGACGATCCCGAGAAGATTTTTGGTCACATATTGTACCCAGTTTTTCACTCGACATGGCGAATTGGGACTAAAACGCTTAAATTTCAAGTACGTTTGTACCTTTATTGCCTACGAAATTATGGGTGAAACATGCCATTTTGGCGCCCATCAACAGCAAAATGATAGATAATGAAAAGGTTAGTTTCGAAAAAAACTTCTTCGGTGTGCCTGAAAGCGAAAATTTGGCTTCATCAAGAGATTTGATACAAAAGATTGACAACTTGACATACCAAGCGCTCAAGTCCCAGCTGAGAGGGCCTTGGGTGTGTCATGGTTCGTGAACACCGGCAATTTTGGTTTTAAAGTGTGAGTTACTGCTTTGTCACTTTGTCATTCATTTATTTGCCCATGCACAGAGTTATTACAGAAAAACAAGAGAATAATTATACATGAGCAGGAGCTCTCAGCAACCCTTTTAGGCTTTACGAAGAGAGCTCCTGGATACGTTTACGACAATGACTTTATTTTTAACATAATAAAATGTACATAGCTGTGTTACGAGGATTATAGTAATTGGAGAACTGACTAAAACTAATAGTTCATGTAAATAATTTTCTTATTCGAGGAGAAAATGAGTTTTCATTTTTTTCCTGAATAAATTGATTGTCTTGATTTCTTTGATAGGATTTCTTTGATTTATATTACTGACTGTCTTTGGTAGCTGGTTCGTGCTTGGAAGTTGTGAACATTGGAGTTTGATCTTGTGTTGTATTGATAAATGCATTTGTTCAGACAAAGAAATCATTGAAAGGTGATGATCGGTTCTTATTGAAGTATGGAAACTTGAACAAAGCAATGATTTCATTGTTTATATCATCTAGAGGTAAAATCCATAGTTCTTTGAAGTATGTTCTTGACATTTTGAAAAAGTGATTAATATACTTATAATTTTTTTTGTAGCCTTTTTATTGGTTCCATTCTTGTTGTGTACGTATTTGCCGGTGCAATGTTACCATAAATTAGATATCGATAGATCAATGCGTAATATAGGTCACTGCAGGTGATGTATGATCGACCANGACTTTATTTTTAACATAATAAAATGTACATAGCTGTGTTACGAGGATTATAGTAATTGGAGAACTGACTAAAACTAATAGTTCATGTAAATAATTTTCTTATTCGAGGAGAAAATGAGTTTTCATTTTTTTCCTGAATAAATTGATTGTCTTGATTTCTTTGATAGGATTTCTTTGATTTATATTACTGACTGTCTTTGGTAGCTGGTTCGTGCTTGGAAGTTGTGAACATTGGAGTTTGATCTTGTGTTGTATTGATAAATGCATTTGTTCAGACAAAGAAATCATTGAAAGGTGATGATTGGTTCTTATTGAAGTATGGAAACTTGAACAAAGCAATGATTTCATTGTTTATATCATCTAGAGGTAAAATCCATAGTTCTTTGAAGTATGTTCTTGACATTTTGAAAAAGTGATTAATATACTTATAATTTTTTTTGTAGCCTTTTTATTGGTTCCATTCTTGTTGTGTACGTATTTGCCGGTGCAATGTTACCATAAATTAGATATCGATAGATCAATGCGTAATATAGGTCACTGCAGGTGATGTATGATCGACCATTTGATAGGTCAATGGGTTATAAATTATTAATGAGTTTTTGAATGAATGACCAACAAACATCCGAAAAGATAATATAACATGAATACTCTATCTCATCACGATGGAACCGTTCCGTCAACGTATAGCTACGTAATATATAGATTTATCCAGGGCTAAAAGCGAAGCTCTGGTTAATAATACGTGTAAAAAAAATATTAAATCGTGTAATGCTAAACGGGGAAAATAGGGCCATTTATACGAGGAATTATAAGACGCGTCTTACATAAGACGCGAACTGTACCATTTATACGAGCATGTCTTATCTAATAAGACGCGTCTTAGCTAAGGCGCGTCTTATCTTAGACGAAATGTGCCGTTTATACGGAAAGTTCGCGCCTTATTTAAGACGAGTCTTATGTAAGACGCGTCTTATTTTTCCTCGTATAAATGGCCCTAATGAAAATGGTTACAAGACTAATATATCTAATTAGCAAAAAACAAATTGCAAGTGCAGCACCCTTTCCCTCTAATTAGCAAAAAACAAATTTGCACGTGCAGCACGCTTTTTTGTCTTTCCCTTGGCGTTGTTTTGCACGACTACAACGCTGTTTTGTACGACTAAAACGTCAAACTTCCTAGTTACACATTATTTTTATGGAGAAATTGTCTTATGTGCTTACCCAGTATTTTGTTTCCTGTGTTCATGTTCGCTTTTATTTTTCACTGCCGCTCATTTTCACCTTGCTGGCCGCTAGCCTTTTTCATTTTCTCACCGCGGCTTTGAATTTCTATGTTTTTCTTCCCACGAAATTCGTCTCTTTGTTTTTAATAACTCGCTCTAGCTCTTTCTCTGTTATCCACGTTACTTAGTGTAGACATAAAAAATAACGCCGAAAAAGACACGACTTTGTTGTTGTCCGGGCGGCCATGTGATTTCCTTCCAAATAAAACCTTGAGTTGCATTTGGGTTACCATACCTGTTGATTGAGTTATTTTACTTTGGTATGCCTGTGGCGCGGACGGACGGTCGCTCGCTCGCTCGCTCGCTCGGTGTACGGTCACGTGATTACCAAATTTTCTGGGATGGGTAGATTACCACATTTCCTTAGCGGTAAGTATTGGCCTACCGCGTGGAGCGCCGCTATTAATCGTCGCATCGATCACACAAAACACGAAGTTTATATTAGCTTTTAGTTTACTAGTTAACGCACAGGTTACGCATCTTTACTTAGCCACTTGTTAAATTAAATACGTCTTAATTTTACACTTTAATGACAGCAAATATGTATCAGATATGGTTGCATTTAAGTTGCCGGAACGTGAATTTAAAGGTCTGTTGAACATTGCACGAGAGAGAACAAAGTATGTTTTTACTTTACGGAATTAATATACCACAGTTTTAAAAAAAATCAGCTCTTGTTTAAACTTCTTAAAACACAATTACGCCGCGTACTTCCAAATGAAAGTCAATGTCTAAATACCAATTATTAACGTTTCATTTGTACACCTCTGAAAAATATGTTTTTCTATACTTCACTTTGAAGAAGGTCAAACATAATTCTACTGACCTTTAGGGAGGGAAGAAGTCACGGGTGCCCTCGCACCCCCTCCCCCCCAACAGGTTCCAGAGGTCCACTTTTTTAAATATATAAAATTGTTCTAGAGAGGCCTTAAACTGCTGTTTCAAAAGTAAAATCTAAAATCCAAGCTTTCGCCGATCAACGGCATTGATCAGAAATGAGAAAATATTCCGCGCGCGCTATATATATGCAAAGAAAGTGTGGGGTGAAATGTGTAAAGGATATGACGTATGTATGAAAGCTATAGAGTGTTTTCACTCACGTGGCCAGCATCTATGCAAATTTATTGGAACAAAAGAAAGCGTTTGCATGAGAAAAGAATTCAACTCCTAGAGGATTGGTTTGGGACACCAACATGGCGGCCGTTTCATTGTTTTGGGACACCAATATGGCCGCCGTGACGTCATGTGAAAACACTGTATAGAAATAAACTGTGGCATGGAATACAAAGCCGTCTAATGATGGAGTGTCTCTAAACAAAGGACCTCTAAAAGCAGTTTAAGGCCTCACTAGAACAATTTTATATTTTTAATTATGCTGCTGAAGGACAACATGAACAGATTATGTCCACTTTTTTGTTGATCAAAAATTAAAGCAACGTGAATTTAGAGTATTGTTCTATCCCAATTCACTGATCCAGCTGCTGTTTGTGTAGTAAAATTGAAAATACTGTGAAAGAGCTCNTGTCTCTAAACAAAGGACCTCTAAAAG